AAATTCGGAACTACGCCAATTGTTTTGGTTTTTACTGACACAATAACTGTGACAACAAACGATAATTTGATCTATCAAGGTATTAAAAAAAATTCCGGCGATACCATAAGCGGAAACGTATTAATGTTTAATCAGCGAGTGCTCGGTCTTGAGACTTAATACGAATAAATTAAATTAAATTTATTAAATGTGAATAACACACAAGCGGTAAGTTGCTCGCAATAACAATCCGCAGATGATAACAAGTTAAAGAAGACTGGCAATACAATAACCAGTGATTTGTCAAAGTAAGTTAAAACAAAATAAGCTTGAAAACCACACAGTCACCAGTGAATTTTAATCAAACTCAAGTAGTAAGTTGGATTCAGTTAAAATACGTCAACGATATTAAACTAGATAAACAGGCGGCTTTGTTAAGGTAAAATTAGTTTGTCCGGTGAAAAGAATATTGGACTCGAACAATATTTCCAACCAGCAAACGTTAATATGAGACAAGCAGAAAGCTACAATCAATTAAAATCTGCCCACGGTAGAGATAACCGATGATATAATATCCGGCAATTTAACTTTGTCAAGCAACGCAAACATACCCGAACTTTCAATAAATTCACCACGGGCTAATAAATAACAAAGGCGCAGTGAGTTATGCAAAGTTAAAAGGCGCACTTACTCCGTATTTTAAACTAGGTGGCGGATCAATGGCAGGTTCGATCGATATGGGCTGTTGGCTGATATGCAATACACAACTTGATAACACGGCATCAAACCCTGATTAAAATTGTTCGCAATCTATTAGCAAATGTACCTTTGATCATCGAAGGGTACTTGAATACGATTATATCGATGCTAAATGGGAATCTTGAATTTGGTCCGATTATTATTAATAAATCTCTGAAGATAGTCAAAAACTTCAACGCGGAAGTTGACGATTATGATGCTGTTGAGCAAAAAAAATTTTTTTTTCAAAGAAGTTGAATCAGGAAATATTCGATCAAGATTTGATTCTTATTATATCAGTAAAGCAAATGGTGTTCCACTGCCATCACTCCAACGCTCTAGACAATTGTCAATATGAAATTATTTCACCGAAGTTGAAAAATATATGCACGCAACCCAAAAGATAACTGTTGAAACGATTGATTAATTTTGTTGCACAAAAGCAAGCGGATTAAAACAAGCTGCGGTGAGTAAGGCTATCAAAATTTTTAGCCGAGTACGCAATTATCTGACGCAATTATGAGACAACATCTTGTTCTTAACATTTTTACGTTGAATAAAATCGCGTAGGCAAATGAATTTATCAATTGGACAAGGAGTGAATACAAAAATTTAGTAAATGGAACAAATTTGTATTAGTATGATGGATACAATTTTGACAGATTTAATTCATACAGCTGGTTAAAAAATGAAGTATTAACTGACGAAGAATAAAATGCTACCTCGTCGTATGTTTATGACAAGTGTAAATATTTTCCGGCTGATCCTTTCAATGATAAGTTTCGTGAATTTCTTGATTTCTTTGCTGGTGCTATAATTTTTACTGTGGTGTAAAAACAATTCTGTATAGTTAGCATATTTTACTATACCATAAAATGATTAAATGGAAAAACATACAATCTGTTTCAATCATGTCTCGGAAGATATTCCGATATCAGAACTTGATGCACTAATGCCTTATTACAAGTTTTTTCACACAAAAAGTTGTTGTGTGAAAAATGTTACAAATACTACAGCAGAATTAGACAAGTAACTTCATATTTACCTTTGATAATGCCTGGCTCTGGTATGATCTGAAGCGGAGCAGCATTAAATCCAAATTTGTTGATGATAATTGGAGCTGGTGTAACTTTATCTATTTCTTGCAACGAGTTGAGCTTCGCTTTGAGGCATAAAAAGTGCTTATAAACAGCAAGAGTCGACATATGAAAAATGTATCGACTAAATACGATCTTATTCGTACGGTGCAAAATACGATATGGAAGATTCAATACGCGAGTTTCGTGTTATTGATAGTATGCTAACAGAAATTCTCCCAATGAGAATTAGCATGTATGAATATCGTTATCAGAAAACATATCAAATAGAATGCAACAGTTACAGTCAAGCTAATATTGATAAGATATTGTAAATTGTGTCTAAAAAGTAGTATATCAATCAATAAATATTGGTCATCAAATGTAAATCTTATCTAACGATAAACATTACAAATATCAAGCAAATAATTTAAAAAATATTTAACGATAAATATAATAGCTATCAAGCAAATGATTTTAAAAAAATCTCCAGCAGTAAAGTATACAAATATCAAGCAAAAATTTATCCGATGATGAATAAGATGTGTGGAGGATTTCTGGATCAGTGACCCTACAAAAGGTCCCAGCAAATACATTTCGTACAACAATCACAAATTTGTCATCAATAATGCAACCTTAGTTTTAGATATATCCTGACATGGTTGTCCTGGGGGTTCGTGGCAAAATGACATCGGATTTTTTTAAAAAATAAAACATTATTGTCATACAAAAGTCAGTAATAAATTATGCATGTCTAGTTTCTGATTTTTAAAAAAAAATAAAACATTATTGTTATTCTGTCAAGATCTCGTCGTCCATTTTGTCACTGCTGATATATATATATATATATATATATATATATATATATATATATATATATATATATATATATATATATATATATATATATATATAGTCGGCATCCGTCGTCGGCATCCGGTTCGCTGAAGACTCCAACCCTGGAATGACAGTCTCCTGCACTTGCTGCAGGTGAACGTCGATTCTTGTTGAAGCTTTTGTCTTTTCGCCTTTCTCCTGGATCTCTATTCAGCGAGGTCTGTGTTTCTTGTTTCCTCGACTTCTATGCACCATGTCTGACAGGAAAGTGCTATGCGATGCATTCGTCAGCACCTTTCTTCCAGTCGTTGGCGTTGATGTTGGCCGTCTTCATGTTCTTCTTGCAGCCATCTTTTAAACGCAGATGTAGACCTCCAGTCTGACGTGCGCTTACTGCTAGCTCGCCGTAAAGCAGGTTCTTTGGAATGCGGCCTGGATCCAATCTCTTTTCGTGGCGTACCAGGGAAGGCGCCTCTCGCTGAGAATGGAAAACATACTGTTCGTGCTGACGTTCCAGAACCCCCGTTTTGTGTACTTTCTCAAGCCACTGTATGTGCAGAATGCTCTCATGAATCTCAGGTGGAAGTTGTTGAGATTCTTCTCGCGTTGGTGGTCCGTTCCTCGATGATGTTGAGGAGTGTGCTGAGCACGCAGGCCTGGTAGGTACACAGTTTGCTTTTCAATCGATGGCGATGGTGAGAGGGAAGTCTACGTCCTGCACCATGATGTTTGTCTTCTTCAGATTGATGGTCAGTCCAAACTCCTTGCATGCTAAGAGAGGCGACATACCAGCTACTGCAGTCCGTCTTCCGTTTGTAATGTGAAGGTTGCATTGTCGGCGAAGAGCAATTCAAGGATGAGTACCTCTGTGACTTTAGTCTTTGCAAGGAGACGGGCTGTGAACAGCTAGCCGTCAGCCCTGGTGTTTATGTACACTCCCTCACTGCTGTCCTTGAACGTGTACTGAAGTAAGATGGAGAATGAATGCCTCTGATGTTGCGCCGTAGAAGCACGCTGAGCTGTCCATGTTCTCATGGGACGGCGTGACGACAGCGATCAGGCGTGGGGGTGACAGCCGATCTTCTGCAGGAGACTGATGAATCCTATCCGGTTAACCAGATCAAACACTTTCGTCAGGTCTATGAATGCGATATAGAGGGGCACCTGCTGATCACAACACTTCTCCTTCAGCTAGCATAATAAGATGATTATGTCTGCAGTTCACCGGTTGACTCGGAATCCACACTGGTACTCTTTGTAGCTTTCCTCTTCGCCATAGTCACGGACTCCATCTTCTCCCAGGTGGCCTCATACCAGTCGGCATTTTTGCGCTCCTTCTTCCCATTGGGAGTTATGGCAGAACTGTACACAACGTCTCAGAGGTGGGACCTCTTGGAGTCAATCTTGTCATCAGGTGTCTCTTTCGTGAGAGCAACCTGCAGCTTGCAGATGAACAGCTGTGTCTTTTCTGGGTTGCTTGCACGGCAGGTGTTGATGTCTGGGCGGCCCTTCTTATTGTTGTGGTGCAGCTTCTTTGGTATTATTCAAGTCTTGCTTGCCACAAGGGAATGGTCCATGTCGCAGTCGGCACTGTGGTAGCTGTGGATGAGGAGGACACTGGCCAGTTTCGCACGCTTCGTGATGACGAGGTCTAGCTGGTGCCAGTGGTGGAAACGTGGGTGTCTCTGTGACGCCTGGTGTATCTCCTTGCACTTGAAAAGATATATATATATATATATATATATATATATATATATATATATATATATATATATATATATATATATATATATATATATATATAATATAATACAAATTACAATTAATACTATCATACAGGTTAGAGATTTATGATTCTACGGTGTTTCGAACCCAGGTCCGCGAGTAAACGTCACCCATCGCCTTGCCTGCACACCGGCCCATATCCCGTCACGACTAAGCACGCATCACCATTGGACGCATCACCATTGGTAGAAAATCTACATGTTTACGCAATAAAATGTGTTTTAATAAAGTCAGAGATAATGTGCATGACAAATCAAGGATAATGTACATAATAAAGTCAACTATATTGTATAATGTATATAATAAAGTCAAGGGTAGTGTGTGTGTGTGTGTGTGTGTGTGTGTGTGTGTGTGTGTGTGTGTGTGTGTGTGATTTGATCAGTTAATGAAGCTTTAACATTTTCCCTGTCATATCACTGTGATGTATGCAGTGGGCTAGTTTATAGTGATGTCTAGCACTGAAACATCTTGCCGTAAACATATAACATGATTAAACTTTCAGTCACATGATCCTGACTCCAGACTGACCAGTCCGAACAGAAACATCTTAACGCTGAGTGCCAAACCAGGCAGCTGTTAGTATCATTTTTATGACTCAACCGGGTTCGAACCAGCGACCTCCCGCATCCAAGGCGGACTCTCTAACAACAAGGCCACCGGAGCGGTCAAAGTAATGTGTATGATTAAGTCAAGGGTAATGTGTATCATGACGTGAAAGGTAATGTGTCTGATAAAGTCAAGGGTAATGTGTATCATGACGTGAAAGGTAATGTGTATGATAAAGTCAAGGGTAATGTGTCTGATAAAGTCAAGGGTAATGTGTATCATGACGTGAAAGGTAATGTGTCTGATAAAGTCAAGGGTAATGTGTATCATGACGTGAAAGGTAATGTGTATGATAAAGTCAAGGGTAATGTGTCTGATAAAGTCAAGGGTAATGTGTATCATGACGTGAAAGGTAATGTGTATGATAAAGTCAAGGGTAATGTGTATCATGACGTGAAAGGTAATGTGTATGATAAAGTCAAGGGTAATGTGTATCATGACGTGAAAGGTAATGTGTATGATAAAGTCAAGGGCAATGTGTACCATGACGTGAAAGGTAATGTGTATGATAAAGTCAAGGGTAATGTGTATCATGACGTGAAAGGTAATGTGTCTGATAAAGTCAAGGGTAATGTGTATCATGACGTGAAAGGTAATGTGTCTGATAAAGTCAAGGGTAATGTGTATCATGACGTGAAAGGTAATGTGTATGATAAAGTCAAGGGTAATGTGTATGATAAAGTCAAGGGCAATGTGTACCATGACATGAAAGGTAATGTGTATGATAAAGTCAAGGGCAATGTGTACCAGGACGTGAAAGGTAATGTGTATGATAAAGTCAAGGGTAATGTATATCATGACGTGAAGGGTAATGTGTATCATGACGTGAAAGGTAATGTGTATGATAAAGTCAAGGGCAAAATGTACCATGACGTGAAAGGTAATGTGTATGATAAAGTCAAGGGCAATGTGTACCATGACGTGAAAGGTAATGTGTATGATAAAGTCAAGGGTAATGTGTATCATGACGTGAAAGGTAATGTGTATGATAAAGTCAAGGGTAATGTGTATCATGACGTGAAAGGTAATGTGTCTGATAAAGTCAAGGGTAATGTGTATCATGACGTGAAAGGTAGTGTGTATGATAAACTAGAGTGTAAGGTGTATGCTAATTCAAAATTTGTTAATGAAGGTTTGAGTATAATCACACCCTGTATATCAATAAACAACTTTTCTGCATAAGCTATTAGGTGTGTCGGTAGAATTATTATTTAACACATGTCGTTCCCAGTAGTATATATTTATGGTATTATCCTAATAAAAATTTATTATAAATCTTATTAACCAAATCGAGACGAAAAGCAACTAATAAAAACTGCAAACATTTCAAATGTATATTAATAATTAAGTCACGTGCATGTGTACGCTCCTAATAAATACAGATTACAGCTGTCGCATTTATCTTAGAGGACGTGATACCTTTGTTTCTAAAGATAGGACGTTATGCCCATTGTCCGATTCAGAATTGGATTGTAGTATTTTATAATACAATGGTAAATGTTACTTTTATTTAAATGTGGAATTATGGAACAATAACATGATTTTACAACATTTAAGTTTTCTTAATTTCTGGTTTTAATTGATTGCAACCATCTTAATGATATTTCTGTTATAATAGACTAAAAAGGAGCTAGGTAATATATAAATCGTATGTATTACATAATCAAGGATATCTTCACTATTATTATTATTATTATTATTATTATTATTATTATTATTATTATTATTATTATTATTATTATTATTAGGGAGCTAAATAATATATATTATTCCCTTTCTAAATTATTGTTTTAAATGTTTCGTGAAATAAAATCCCCACTCTCGATTTATGTTAAAGGAGATTTGTTCAGATTCAAAAGAAACAAATACGTGTTGCCTGAAATGTGATGGTATGTTCTTCTTAATATACATAGAGAAACCTTTAATATGGACATTATTGATTGCCTTTAGTTCCATGTAATTATAATTTATCTTTCACCTTTTTGGTCAGAGTTTAGAACATACGGGAATAATTTATTTTAAACGTTCGAATTATCTTAGCCGCAGTTGTAATATGGATTGCAAACATCTAATAATACACCACGTTTAAAATTTTGTACAGTGAGTGCGGCGTGCTACCTGTAGCATCCCTTCCTTTATTTCAATACTCTCTTAACTTTTATAATGAAAGTACTACCCACAAATATCGTCATTAATTATTTTTTATTTCCAAACCATCGGGTGGCACTTGCTCCATACTAAGATATTTGGCAAGCTCTTGAGAAGATATTATTTTTCGTTTCAATGGTGATTCGCGTGCCTGAAAATGAAGTGTACTTTCTGGTAAACAAAAGTTCTTGATGTTATTTGTAATGAATTCAATTATAGTTTTAAAATCAGTCTTCAACAATGTATTTTAAACTTGTTACTTGTTAAGTAGATCTACAAGTTGAAGGTTTCGCTTGATGAAATTGCTCAGTTATTCCTATTGATTTCATGAAATTTATGCAGATGCGAAGAAAACGTGTAGGAACCAAATTAAGTTCATTGATTCCTAAAATGCTTACACAGTAGACCATGCAGTAAACTGCATCTGAAATGCGATCATGTGTCTGGTCATTAGCATGCATCAGTGTTGGGAAGATACACAATGAAACAATGTTGACTCTACAGAGAAAAGTATTGTCATATGTTAACATTACTTAGCAAACTTTTGTCTTACTTGTTTGAAGAATTAGTTTAATTTTTACTGAAATAAACTGAATGACAATGACATAATATTTGATTTATTTGTAAAAGATTTGAACATTATTAGTTACAGCTCTTATAAATTTGTCGTGTTTTATCCAACAATGTGCTAGCACTCAATTAAATTTATTTGTAAACAAAATTTCTCTTATGTGTTGTGGCCCTTGAAGCTGTATTTCAGCTGTTTTAAAAAAAGAAAAGATTTTCTTACGAGAAATCTTCATGATCACGCATCCAGCTCGTGCTCGTGTACCATCTCTAGTCTCTTTATTGAAACGTAGCATAAGGTATATTCGGCCAGCATTATACGAATGGAGTTTAGAAACAGATTTTGCAGAGCAAAATTAAGCTGTGTAAGGATGTCTGTGTGTTTGTATGTCTGTATTTATATACGAATGTGGCTTATAATACTTAACGTCTATCAGTCTATTTGTAACTGAGGTGAAAAGAAAATCTAGCGGGACATTTTCTTTAAGACGGTCAGATAAGGCTCTCAGCGATAACAAGTCACCCGCTGAGCAGTTTGCTTTTCACAGGCAGTAACTCTCCACACCACTGGAGTTTATTTTGCGAATTTCACAAGTATTATGTTTAAAAATGCTAATTGAAATTTTCCTAGAAATAATAATTTAAATTATTTATAAGAAAACGAAATCTTCCGATTTCAATAATTAATATTATCATGCATTAAATACCTGGCAAAAGCTCACAATTTGAGCTTAAACGGCTGAAAAGGAGCAATTACAAACGGACTAATTTGATTAGTGTCCAAATGATCTCCAGATAATATAACGGCTCTCCCATTGGGCCCATAGATAATGATAAGAATATGGTCTATTCAAAGCGGTTTCTCGAAACAGTCGTTTTGCTAATGTCATTACTCTGTATATATATATATATATATATATATATATATATATATATATATATATATATATATATATATATATATATATGTACTTTACGTTAGTAATATCTGAAAACTTATCAGTAATGAGCTAAAAGTGAGTAGCAATAAATATAATTTGCATTGTAGAGTGATCCACTATAGAATTTAAACCAAAATCCTTCAACTGAGCCTTTAAAAAAGATTTTAACAAATGCACACAAAAGCAAAAATTACTATATACTGACCATATCGATGATAATGAGGTTGCTGACATCCATTGGGAAAATGAGCTAGGATTTTCCTTAGAGTGCGAAAATGTGCCTGTGACACCTCTATTCCACGAGGGCTTTTATGGACAGTACAGTTAATTGTAAGCAAGTTGGCAAGTCAATATTTATTTGATATTAATGGCCTAATTAGTGTAGCCTAATCTATTGTCTGTAATTAACTAATCGCCATTATGGCCGCATTATAGACTTTTTTGTCCTTAGACTTGGAGAAGTATCTGGTCCACGCACATGTAACTGAACTGGCCATGACTGTCGTTATTAGTGTCAGTCAACTGTACATTAGATTTTAAGATTTCAAAAAAGTCAGCCGCTATCAGAGAGAATTGCATTTTTATGTGTAATATATGTTAGAAATTGTACAAGTTAATTATATGAGATGATTGTTGGTAGTTAGTCATCTGTGAAGTTAGATTTAAGATAATTATTCTCCAAGAAATAAATATTAGGAAAAGATTCAAAGGAATAAAACAAGAGCGCAAATAAATATTTTTTAAATATATAATCGTGTAAGTTCTCAGCATTAACATTAAAGTAAACATGCCAAGTGGTTTGGCGCTGAGCACTTGTATCCCTTGAGGTAGAAAGAAATATACCCCCAATATTAAAATCGTGTAAGTTCTCAGCATTAACATTAAAGTAAACATGCCAAGTGGTTTGGCGCTGAGCACTTGTATCACTTGAGGTAGAAAGAAATATACCCCAATATTAACTTTGCCGACGAGGGTGTCGTGAGTAATTAACAAATATATGAATCGTATATATTGCATAACCAAGGATATCATCACCTTTATTATTATTATTATTATTATTATTATTATTATTATTATTATTATTATTATTATTATTATTATTATTATTATTATTTAAAAGTCTTAAGAGTAACGAAACAAGAAAATGGGTTTATTTATGAAAAACAAAAACTTTGAAGTACTTAGCAACATGAATTCAGACATTTATGTATTATTTATCATTTCCATGAAAGTGAATATTTATATCGGTTGTATACGAAATATGTGTGATAGCTATAGAATAAGACAAATTACTTCATGGAATTTCCGAATTAAAAAAAAATATACAAGTAAAACAAAAATCTTCAAATTAATCCTCGAACTTCGGTACAGCATCACAGTCTCAAAAGATACCCCAAAA